TTAGACCGTGCTCAAATGTGATTGGCTAGGTTATATGATTCGTGTGTCCCAGTAACTTCATGTTGTCCTTGTTCAGGAGAATGTACGAATTTCATTTTGACGGATCCGGTTGACTGCTGTATTTTTGTAAACACTGCACGCTGCGGAATTATCGTGGGCTAATGACATGTTGCAGAATGCGTTGCGTATTTGCCATTCGGCATATTTCGCGCGCTATTTCTCGAAATCGGGCCCGAAACGTTGTTCAATTTACGTGCACTCGGGACACGTCGCTGGGCGCGCACCGCAGCGAGTGACCTGAACCGTGAACAGTGCGGCGGTGGGAGAATGACCGCGAAGGGTCGTTGCCTGTCCCGCGTGTTCACTGGACCGGCGGTCAAAGCATTCAACCAAAGCCCGTCTTGGGGCACAATATGTGTAGTGAGCAGAACCGCGACTTTTTCACTGAACGGCCTGAGTAACGGCGCGCGTCGACGCAGGCTGGTGCGCGTGCCGAAATGCCAAGCGAGAGAGCATTGTAGGAGGAGGAACCAGACGCGCGGAGGACCAATAATCACTGATAAGGCCGCCGGCCGAATCGCTGCATGTGCGCGTCAGAAAAGATGTTATGTGTGCTGCTATATTCATCCTCATTATTTGCTCTGTTTGCCGCGACATATGCAATGCTAGTCTAAATCTCATGCAGATTTGACGATGAATTTTGTTTAAACTGAGCGCATGCGTTGACAGTCCTCTTAGCCATTTTCTTCTTTTGTCGGTTGCTTGCGAAGACATCTAAAAGCGATGACTTTCTTTGTCGGCCATGGTGGCTCGCGTATGAAACCGAATAGATTTTGCAGCATTGCTTGAAACTCTTTGTCATGAAAATTTATTTTTCCTGCCATGAAAAATTAACAGCAAAACTGTGCTTTAGTCAACCCAAGATCTAAAGCCAATAATTGTAACCATCTTACTTTGTTCAGGCTTTCTACTAAGATCCTCGATTTTCGTAAAGCCGCCAATGGGATGGGATCATCCACTTTTTCGGGGAGGAGTAAATTTGTCCCCCAGTCTTTTTCATGGCTTTCGGCCGCCCTTAAGCCGTATGCGTAAATTTGATGCAATATTGTAAATCCCTTTTCCCCTCCCCCCAAAAAAGAGGCGGAAAACCCTTTGGGGAGTGTGGAAACTATCCTTTTTAGAACGTTGTCTCTCTTGCTACCATTTTCCGCGCAGGCGCTGCGCCTCATGTGGGCCACTGGTCAATGACCACTTGATGTGTGGACCCACCGGACGGTCTTCGTGCCGTGAACCGCAATCTTTGCGCGACGCGCTTCGTCGCTTTTGCTAGGGTCTTATCGGCGCGGCTCTCTAGCGAATGGGCACATCCGAAGCGCACTCCTTTATCAGCCTACTCTCTCGCCGTACGTGCGCATTGTGGCGCTGAGCACTATCAGGGTCATGGGTCAGTCAGTGGGGACCTCCTCACCCCAGATTGCCATTGTGCGGAAGTGTGCTAGGTTTCGCGGGTGCAGCATACTTTTTTTTCTCCCTTTTTTTTGGCTTGCGCTAGCAATGCACTCTACTAATGTCTTTGCGTTGCCATTTTGCACGGTCCTTTCGTCCGCGCGGGTCAAAGTTGGCACATTCCCGTCTCGCTTAGCCGACCGTCTCGTACTTTCACTGCGCCCAGCTATTCTTTGCGCGTCCTCGCCCGCTTCCAGCGTTAGTGTTGTCGTCAAATAACGTATTTTCCGGAAACGTGTCTGAACCATTCGCTGTCTACGAAGACGAAGGCCTTTCGGACGGCCGTCAATGATTTTGTGTCGCCTTTATGGAGTATTTATTTTTCCATCCCACATTTTGACCCGCTTGCTCTACGACGCATTCGATTGTTAAAATGCACTGTCTTTACGCGGAGGGGGGGGGGCTAAGAGTGGTATGTTCTTACTGGCAAATATGGTCATGTATGCGCGCACGTTGACTCTGGTCTGAAAGTCGTCTGTCTTACCGCTTGGGCGTCCGCGCACAGTGACGCTTGGCACACATGGGTCACTGGTCAAGCAGGTGCGGGAGCGCCCAGAAAAGTCATAGCTCCGTGAAACTCAGTTTTTGCGCGACGCACCCCGCAGTCTTACCGTCGCATTGCTAAAGCGGGTTGTCCCGTCCACAGCGCCCTCTTTGAAACGCTTGCTGTTTTGCTGTACGTGCGCAGCGCGACTCGGAGCCCCATCCGTGTCACGGGTCAATGGTCACCTGGCGAATGGGTATGCGAGTTTGCCACTGTGGCGATGTCCGCTGTGTGGGAGCGCCCGAACCGCCATTGCCCCGTGAAAGTCCGAGTGTTGCGCGACGCACTCCGCTGCTTGTGTTTACTTTTATTCTCGCATTTGTATAGCGGGTTGCCCCGTCCAACGCGCACTCCTTGAAACGGGCGCTCTCTTGCCGGGCATGCTACGTGCGCAGCGCGACTCGGGGCCCCAACCGGGTCATGGGTCAATAATGGCGGGTGGGCATTCGAACTTGCCACTGTGTCGATGTGCGCGGTTTTTGCGGTACGATACGCTTTGCTGCTACGGTTTTTTTACTTACACTCCGGCTTAGAGCTATTTGCCTATATGATGCTCGTGCAAATGTGATTCCGCATGAATTTTGGATCTCCCCTTGATTTTAACACGGGCAACCCCTTATTCTCATAACAGTATCTAGCGACAACTTGAATTTTTAAAACCAGCAAGCAAATTCTGCAACAATTCTGACACCAGGGCTAAATGTTTAGAACAAGTACGGTATTTCATCGTGTGTTCAGAGAAGTTTTCTGTATGGCCTAACTCAGTCTTTTACGCAAAACTAACCTATTTTTTCGAAGGTGATCAAGTTAACCATATAAGGACTAATAGACACAAAAAAGTTTATTACTCCATTTGTTGCATTTCGGCAATCAAGCGAAAGATATCAGAATGGACTTTGTGGGGAACAACATAAATGGAGGCAAACATGAAACAAATTTTGAAAATTTAGAAGGGACATGGATTGTAACAACAAAAAATGAGATGCGTGAAGAGGACTGATAGAAGTTAAGATAAAATTCGAGATTTTCGTTGAAGTTGAAGCAGATCACTGTCCGCCTTCGTCATCGGTAGCGGCCTCTTCCGACGGGCTCGCAGTGGCCTCCGATTCGGTTTCGCCGCCAAAAACGGGGAAGTCGTAGTCGTCCTCGTCCGCTTCGGCATTGAGCGGCTTTGACGACAGTTGCTTCTCGATTCCGTTGCGCGTGGCGACGTTGATCTTGAGGCAGCCGCCTAAACAAAGTGCTTAGTATGCTCTTTTTTCTATCTGCACGAAAAGCATCAATCTGTCTACGGTGCGCGCTTACCGACAAGATCCGCTTCGAACTTGTGGATGTGGAAGACGTCCGGCGGCAGGAAGTGCTTGGCGTCGGGAAAGCGGAAGAAGACTTCCGCCTTGTGGAAGCCATCAGTCACTGCGCTGCCGTAGCGTGGACCATTGCCGTCATCTTCCTGTTTCGGGAGGGGAAGAATCGCGGTCTTTGCAAGCAGCTGCACGCGTAGGTATCTTAAACCATGCGTTAGCGCTATTAATTTGAAGCGCATTACCATCAGCCTTGCCGTCCACGACATCTTGCAGCATCACTTGCTTGGCGCTTCCTTTCGCGGCGCGCTCATCCTCCTCAGGTTCATCCGACTCCAGCTTGAAGTCATCGTCGATGAGCTTAACTTCGGACGACTTGCCGAAATTCAGCTGCGTCAGACGGCCGTACTTCCTGTCAACGAACTTTTCGTCCTCCAGCTGCGCGGCCATAATGCGGAAGGTGACGTGACGTCCCTAAAAAGTTGAAATTGTATTTCGGTTTTTGTGGTTTTTTGGAAGCATGAAAGGGCAAAATGTGTGGGGAACTGCTTTTGAACTCCTATACTTACCGTAGCGTCCTTGAGCTCTTCGACAATGCGTCGAGAGTTTTGCTGCCAGCTGCGAACCTTCACGTACGCGTCTTGTAGCTTGACCACGCAGATGACGAGGTCATACTGCGTTTTGGGTTCCGACACGGAGATGAGCGTACCGTTGATTTTGCTAAATTTTTGCCAATCATCACGCTGAAAAAGTAAGGGACCTACTTTCGCTCGCTTCCAACCACGATGTCGGTAAGCTTTGACAGGGCGAAGGCCTTCTCGGCCTAAAAGCATACAGACCTAAGGCATGAAGAATCGTGAAATTTTTTACCTTTTTCGGAGGAGGACTCGAAGGCGGCACTTTGTCGCTGTTGCGTCGCTTGCCGTGCGCTTGCTGGGACATCTTGCAGCTTTAGAAGATAGTGCGGTAAGAGCTGGTACAAGATATCTTACCCTTACAGGGCGAGCTAACTGGTGCCAAATGCGCTACACGCTGTCTTTTATTGCGACATGTTGTTTACTTTTATTCGCGCGCTATCTCCGCCCGCATTTGTATCCTTAACGCCCATTAAGATCAGCATGCTGATTAGCGAGATCGTCTTTGTTGCATCGCGTCCACTTGATTCATCGTATGAAGCGGCTTGCCTTTATCCCGCATTTTGTTCAAGAATGGAGATTCCTGATCCTTCTGCCCGCTATTGTGTTTCGGGACTGTATCGTGTTGCACTCTTCGACAAAAGGTGTGATGCGCACCTCTGCGCTATTATATCCTGCCGCATTCGTTCTCGCTCTCGGTCTAATTGTAGTTCTTATCATCATTGACAATCACGGCGATGTGCGCCATTTTGGGAACAATAATCCGGCGAGTCCTTTCATTCCACGATTTCTGCCACGTTTGATCTCTTTCCGTTCGCCGACGCTATTGTGTGCATGCATGTTGTTGGACAAGGCCGATTCTTACCGTAATCAAGTTTTAACATTACTGATCTAGTTCAAAAAATTTTCAGTATTAACCGATGATTTGCTTAAATACGGTAATTTCAAGCATTTTTTCTGTAAAAACTGCGCCTTTCGCCACATTTTTTTTGCTCCCCTTCGCTGTCTGGATAAGTGTCGATAGCTCAACGGTAGAGCGCTCATGATCATGAGAGGTCGCAGGTTCGAATCCTGTTCGATGGCCTGCAGCTAAGGGGAATTTTTCGAAATTTAATGAAATGAATCCAAAATCCGTTTTTATACTTGTCAGGCTGGTACAACCCTCAGTTTTTTTCTACGTCACTCAGATTCAGCGTTGCCCCCTTGCGATTGACTGCTCGGGCAACTGTCTGTTGACTTTGAGTCCGACTCGCTTGCACTATCCAGTTCAATATCTGACTGCTCCAAATGCGGATCTCCAAAGATTACCTTGCATCCGTTGCATCCTATCCTTCTCCGTGATCTCTGCTGCAGAAGAGCATCTCTCCAAACAATGTTTTTGACCGTAAAATTTCCCATTTTTTCCTCGGCCACCTTGATCTTTATGCCGTCCCAGCTACGCACACGGCTCATAGCAACGTAGGTTAAGCCATGCGCGAAGGGCTCCAGTTCCAGGTTTAAGCCGATCTTGTCGAATGTACTGCCCTGGCTCTTATTTATAGTTAAGCTATAGCATAGTCTCACAGGAAACTGTTCACGGGTGAGCGTAAACGGAAATGACCCGTCGGTACTTGTACATTTAATCCTGGGGATGAATGCTGTTTCGCCAGCTTTTTCGCCACTTATTATCTCACAGATGAGCACCGACGGTTTCATTGCTTTTAGTAGAAGTCTGGTTCCATTAGTAAGACCCTGACTGACGTTAAGATTGCGCAACAGCATCAGCGGCACATTATCTTTCAGCTTAAGCTCATGTAGTGGCAGACCTGACGCTTCCAGACTGTGAATGAATTCGTCGGGATATGTTATTCCGGAACAAGGTTCGTCGACATCGATTGTGTCTCGGCTGTAATATGTCCTTAGTTCGCCCTCCACCTTAGTTAGCACTTCGTCATTGATGGTCTTACATGCGTCATTGGTTGTGCAAAGAATAGCGCGATTAGCTATGCTTTTGAAGTCTTTATCTCTTATGCATTCGCCGAAAATTTCTTCAATAATGTCTCCTTTGCTAAATGCGTGTGGTGGAACCGATACGTCTGCATCCTCTTCTTTCTGTAACTCGCCATTCCCAAGTTTCAGTAGAAAGCTTGCAAATGATTTCTCCTCAGGCAAAGCGCGCATATTCTTTTTGAGCTGCAGGATTTTGAGCTCTCGCATAAGGTAGCTATTTTTGAGCGACATACTGATCAGTTCTGTCTTCGAGGCAAATCTTTTGACAGGTAAAACTTGCCTAAAGTCACCAGATAACAAAAAAACCTTACCTCCGAAAGGCAGATCTTGATTACCAGTCAGTTGCTTAAGCTTCTTATCAACAGCTTCGATCATGTATTTCGCGCACATCGGAGCCTCATCTAAGATAAAGACGTCAGTGGCAAGAATATCTTTTCCGGCTTTGCTGTTTGGTTTTATTCTTGAGAGTGAGTCCGGGTTCATCGGCACTGGCAATTCAAAAGTTTTGTGCAATGTTTTTCCGGATGGCAGCAACTGCGCAGCGCAGCCAGTATAGGCCATTGACATGTACTTTTTACCGTAACCAGTAAGCAAGTGGCAAAGAGTTTTATAAACGTACGTCTTCCCACTCCCGCCGATTCCGTCTACGTAATATGCGGCTTTTGGGCGTTCGCCTTTTTGAATTCGCGCTAATTTTTTAAAAACCTTGTCAATGACAACTTGTTGACGACGGTTCATTGCTCTTTTCATGGCTTCCCCAAGTGCAGCCTCTCTATCGCGGTCAATTGATTCTAGCATGTCGTCCAATGTTCCTTCCGGGACCTCAATACCGTATTTGCTTAAGCTCGTTCCCTCAGCTTGTAGCAACTGTTCAAGGTGCAGCTTAGCCGTTTTTGTCGCGTGCTCGTCATCATATCTCCGTGAGAAATCTTCGGACAGCTGATTGCGGAATTTTTCCCACAGGTTTTGAGGCTCTTTGGGTTCGCAGAAGGTGAGAATTGTCGCGAACAATTTTCGCAACTCACTTGCCATTTTAAATTCGCTCGCCTCCTTGAGGCAATTTTCGAGTTCTCGGTCATCTCCGACAAGTCCCATAGCTTTCGCTGCGTCTTTGAACCTTTCGTATGTCATCCCGTTCACGGTTCGCAATTCCTTGAAACTCCCTGCTCCTTTTTTGTGCAATAAGATAACCCGAAGGTAAAAAGACTGTTCATCTCTGGGATTGACGCAGTATATTCGTCCAATGCACGGCTTCGCACCTTGCCCGCGCGGGACCCATTTCATGTTTTTCACTTCCTGATTACCAACGGTTTGCGCGACCATTTTGAACGTGTAGTGCTCGGGAATCTCGTGGTACAAGTGTTTCCGTGCGCCTGCATCTGTCCGGTTTAACTCTAAGTAAGCCGTGAGCGTAGAATGCCTTTTTTCCGCGGCTGCCACAACATCTTCTAAATTATCTTCTTCGTCAAAACAGATCACTTGTTCACCAGGCATGTGCACACCCAGCCTTCTCACAGTATGCGAAATTCCATACATGTCAAATTCTGCCAGCCGCCAATATGCCTCATGCGGTGTGAGGTACCGCATATCGACGAATTTCTTAATTTCGTCCCGTTCGACCTTTTCCTGCCCATTGGGTTCAATCGATACCGTCACAGCATCAAATCCTTTGTAGACGTACTTGTACAAGTACTTCACACTTTTAACTGATGCGCACAGCTCCACGTTTAAATGCGCGCCAAATCGGGTAAGCAAGTACGGGTTGTACGGGACAACTGAACGATTGTCCATTGGAATGCCTTGTTTCCAAACGACATCGCCATTGTCACTTCTGCGGTAGTTTGCGTAGCTATCGTTACCGAATTCCGACACCTCCTTAAAGTGCTTGGGGTAGTTGAAGCGACATTTCCCATCTTCCATGCAACCGCAATTCGCTTTCAGCTTGCCGCAGGGTCCGTGAATCATAAAATTCTCCACAAGATCTCTCAGTCGGGGGTATTTGTCTTTGTCCGGAAGCGAAGCCCACACGTACTTGTCAATGTTGTCGGAGTCTTTGACCTTGCTCTCTGGCGCAAGGATTAAAAGCATATGACAATGCGGGATCCCTCTCTTTTGGTACTCGATGGAATAAGAGTAGGCCACGCACTTTCCGAAAATTCCTCGCTTTGTTATCTCATGCAGCAACTGTTTGACTTTTAGCCGAAAAACACGACAAACTATGTCTGGTGCGTCTTCCGCCTTTTGCCCTGTTTTCAACTGGTCTTGTATTTCCTTCCAGTTTTTGTTAGCAGTAAAAGTCAGGAAGAAATCTGGCTTACCAAATTTTCTGACAATTGCCATTGAATCCTGATACCGCTGCTGGTAATTCCGCGGGCTTCCTGTGAATGAAGACGGCAAGATATAATCTTTTCCTACTTGAGCCGCGCTACCGCCTGGCGCTTCCTTCAAGTAGTCCGTTAGGCCTTTGTACGATTCCACTTTTAAGATTTTTTGATTTTTTCTGATAAAATCTAGCCGGTCCTGCTCAACCTTGACGTAAGCATCTACCAGAAATTGCTGGAATAGTTTCCCACCATAGTGGATTGGGCTAAACACTGGTTCACCGCGTCTGCAAAACAAGTACCGGTAGTACTGAGCCATACTCACTTTTTTGCCACCGTCTGAGCGCATGTACAGATTCCATCCACCTTTGCCTGTTGGAAAAAATAGTGGGTATATCATTGAATCGCATCGCTTGTCAAACTTTAATATCTGTTGCAACTTCTTGCCTCTTTGATGTACCGATATGCCCTCATGCGGGGGCAGCTCGCCGTTCTCATTCACCACGAAAATCGATGCGACCTCGTTTGCACGCGGCATATTATAGCGTCGCTGATCCTCCTTTTTGGTCCCAAACAGTAATCTGAGCTCGGGCGGTTCTTGGCCCTTCTGTCTGGCCTTGCGAGTTTCCAATTCCTCGATCTCTTTCATCATAAAGTACGAGTCGTAGTAAGGACTGACTTGACGCAGCAATCGGTCTAAGTCAGCCATGAGGGTCTCATTACAGCTAGCGTTGGGCGCGATGGCCATCCGATGGGCTGTGGCTTCTGCTGTATCAATAATAAACAATTGCGCATATGACGGCTGCTCATTCGGGTCGGGATGCATAGCCAGGTTAACCGTGTGATAGATCTGGCCGTGTATTTTGTAGCAGTACGGTCCGTACGAATTGAATTCGACGGTCTTGGCTTTCATGGAACCGAAGGCGAGAGCACTATTAAATTTTCTAACGTTTTCGTGAAAATTAGGGGCATAAAGTGCATTCGAATTTCGCTTGAACAGTTGGCGCAACTTGACGGGATAGTCTCCAAATGGGTCTTCCATATTAAAATTTCCTTGCAAGCAGCAGAAGTTGAACAAACCCCTTGCACTTCCGTCGACTCTCTCCCCTTCAAAGAACTTTGCGCCGCAATGACTGCACTTTTCTCTCATGTCACCGACCGTGAATTCCTCAGCTTCAATTACGGACAGAGCATCGTTTGACACAACCTTTTCAGATTGCCTGACATGTAGCTTGCGCAGCCTGTCCATGCTGAGTCTGTATTTTCTTTGCTCATCTGTCTCGGTTAGCTTTTTTTTCATTGTTTGGTCTTTTTTATAAGCCAGTCTCTTCTCTCTCTGCTCCTTTGATTCATTGGTTCTTGTTCGTGTAAACCGCTTTCTGTCCTGTTCGGATTGTTTAATTCGCTCTTCGTTTGACCGATTTGCTCGAAATTGTCGCACGCGTTTTTTAACTGCGGCGGCGGATGTATTGGGCATCCATGCGTCGTCGTCGCTATCCGGTTTTTTGCGCTTAGGCATCGAGATGCTAAAAAATTGCTGCTCCTAACAGGTCCGAGTTAAGAGCATTGCATTCATTAAAGAGCACGCAGTTTCGCTAAACTTATTTAACACAATTCACAAAAAAGCAATACCGTACCCGCGCCGCTGTGATACTTGGGCTTAAATAAGGACGCCAACCCTTCCCCGCTGCATCCGGCTAGCGAATGTCAACCGAGCGCCAATCCACAACTGCACCCTTGATGACTTATCGCACTATGAATGCGCTGCTCGGC